TAGTATATATATATATATATATATATATATATATATAAGTTTTTGTTTATGTTTTTAAAGTATATTTTTTTGAAAATAACGAAGGAGACGTTATAATACGTACAATTATTCATATATTGAATCATTTTACATATCTACAAAAGTTCATTTAAATTGAAGAGCTTGAATTATAATGTTTCCTTATTAATTTTATAAAAATTCAAGTTTGATAATTAAGTTAAGATGTCTTGTATATTCATATATCTTATAATACATATGTATGCAAATTATAAAAATATCCATCAATATTATCAGATTTAATTAATAGATTTAATTCATCAATTCAATAAATTTTGCCTTGTAATTGGCAAGTAAATAAATGAAAATTATGGTATAACATACATCATATGATTTATAAAATGTAACAGGAGGAAAGAAATTATTTTATATTATTGTAAAATCTAGAAATAGCATACGAGTGCGTGTCTTTATATATAATTAGATTCTATTATATGATTTGTAAAACTTTCTTAGTGGCCATACATTATTAGTAAAGGAAATAATTATGTTAATATGTTTGATTAGTTTATGTATTTCTGTATTGCAATAATAGTTTTATACTCATTTAGTCTTATATAATTTAGTTATACAAGTATATCAAGTACCTTAATAATAATCTGTTTCATTTATTTCCATATAAATCTATAGCTTCTACATTAATTATATTGGAGAATGCTCATTATGTGATTTATAAAAAAAAAAATATAATTATTGGCTAATATGTAAAAGTAGAATATTCAGTATTTAATTTGAGAATTTTATTTTATTTTTAGTTATTATTATTATTATCATCTCTTTAAGTTACACTGTAATATGTTAGTAAAATAATTTATGAGATATACAAATATATTATTTTATTAAATTTATTTTATGATAAAATGTATATCATACTTTATAATAAAACAAATTAAATTAATCAAAGTAATACGATTAAACTTGGATTTTAATATATAATATTAGACACTATAGAAAATTTTATATTTCTTTTAATAATTTTAAAGCTTAAAATATCAATTATAATATATCATTTATAATAAGGTCTTTTTTTGTAAATGAAGTAATATGAAATATTTTTCGATATGATAAAATTTACAAGCGATAAAACGAACTAAAATATAATGATATACCGAAAACTCTCCTCCTCCTAAAATATAATGTAATATTAAAAATTAAGTTATGTATACATATATATATTATTTTCCTGCAAAGTTTCATATTGCCTTAAAAGTTGAAACTGATGACATAATCCCGTCTTGCTCTATTATTTATTCTTTATTTTTACTTTAAATTTAATAATATAGATATTTATTAAGTCGATGCTTAAGCAATATTTTGTTTTATTATTGTGTATCCAACTGATTTTATATATCTAATTTTTTATTATTATTACTTTCTTTTTTATTAACTGCTGATCCACAGGTGAACATTATATTTATTATCTTTCTACCAATCAATTCTTCTTATGTTTCAATGTCATCGTTCTAGCATTATTTATGGCTTCTACCAGTAGTCTAGTATTACCTGCTCGAGAAACCCAACAATACAAAACAATACAAAGTCTAAAATCGGAACATGCGACGCATTAAAGATGCCTTTAAGATTTTATGTTTCAATTTTGAATTTTGTTCGAGGGACTGTTGTCTGAAAATCAACTGGTGCTGGTAAGGATCATGAATACTCTTTTTATCATCAATATTTCAAATTTGACGTTTGTTTTCTACACCATTGACTATAAACTGAAGGCTTAAAATTAAGCAGAAATGGCTTTTTGCAACTATATTTATATTAATTTAAAATCATTGTATTAACATTAGCACACCTCTCATCGCGCGAGACTCATATTTGCATCTTTTAATTTCGATTATATCTCACATTTTTACTACTGCACATTGTGTCATGCCTGGGCGTGCAAATTTCAGACAATTTAATTGTTTATTTTTCATCATCATTTTTAATTTAAAATTATTATAGCCTCGACACATTCTGGTATTACCATTTTTGTCTTCAAATGATCTTAGAAATCTTATTAATTATCATCTAAGATCACTCTATATATAAATTCAAAATTTTTACAAAAGTACCATGTATAAGGCATGCGTTTTGTATGTATATATGTATTATTTAAAAAAATATATATTTCTATTCATAATTGAAATGTTTTTTTTATGTACATTATTTACACGTGATATTTGGGTTCCAGAATAACAAAAATAAAAATTGAGCACAAAATATTTGACACAGTCGTAATAAAAGTAATTTGCTAGTTTAAGATGACTATATATCTGTTGTTACTACGAAGAAAGTTGAAAAAAGGTTTCTACTTATTTAATATCTCAAAATTTAAATATAAGAATGAACATAAATGTGATTTTTTTTAAATAAATGGTTTTTAAAATGAATCTGAATTCTTTCCATGTCGCAATTGTAATCAATACAGTGTAGAGTTTCAATGTATATTTCTTTCATTCTTATGTAAGTGCGTTCCATTATGTCAACATTCTAATTAATGAGACAAAACCTACAATGTAACTGTATTATTATAATTTTTATAATCTGGTTTTTATTTTCCGTGGTACAAATCAGTTATAGCGATATTCACTTTTTATATTATTATCAGACACGCAAGTTCAATTCGACTGAATTCAGATGATCCTGTAACCCATTATAGTCTCATATATCCTATGGGTATCAGTGTATGCCGCACATACAAGTATAATATTTTTTTTCTCTGCCCCGAATGATATAATCCAATTGAAGTGACCGCGGTACGTAAACTGAGTTAATTGGAGCGTGCGTACTGGATCTTTTATGTGGAATTCACAAGCTGACACGGATATTCTGCAATTTATTCGAACAATTGTTATAACCGTTTCTCCTATTTGTCCGGTGAAAAACGAGAAAATGGTATTTCGTCGTTTTTTTTTTTTTTTTTTTTTTTTTTTGTTCGAGAGAGATACGATGAAATTGTTGAAGTCAACGACGGTTATGCATGTAAAAATTTGGCAAAAACGTTTTTCGAGAAAAACGAAGTATAGAAATGTTCCTCTTTAGATAATAATTATTACAGGAAATGTTCCCTGCAATAATAACTGTGCTGCGAGCGAGAATCATTATGTAACTCTGTATTCCGCTATTGACGGAGTTATAAACAGGAAAAACATAAGGGATTACTCACATACAATGGAATGTACTTGAAAAGAAAAGAATGAACGTAGAAAAATGTATCCAGGCTGGGAATAGATCTTTTACAGAACTTCACAGACCTTGTGCACGTGTAGTTTATAAATAATGACGCGATGGAATAATTATACGTACAGGGTTAGCCAAAGTAACTAGGGCAAAGGGATAATCGTGACACTGAAATAGAATCGCTTTAAAACGTGATACAAATTCTGCTATAAACTTCACTTATCACGCAGAGACAACAAGATAATGTTTAAAACAGCATCTGTAGAAATACAAAAGTACTATTAAGTTTAAGAGATAAAGAAAACAATACCTAAAAAATTTTTGAACTGAATCATCAATTTCAATGCCCGGTGAATAGAATATCTAAAATCGATTCATAAGATAACTTCAAGATATCTTTCAGAGTTTTTTATATCTTAAAGATGTTTCCTAAAAAATTCTTAAAGATATCTTAAAGTTAAGTCTTATGCGTTATGTCGATTTTAGACATTCTGCTCATTGAGATAATTGAATTTGATTTATAAATATATTTTAAATGGCCCATTAAATTTTAGGACAAATAATATTCGGTTAGAAAAGAAAGATATGATGGAAGAATATTTTGATCTCGAAAATGTATAGTATCAAAATATTTTCAACTCTTTTGAATGTATTATTTTTATTTTTATTTGAATTATAGATTATTATAGATTTAAAAATAATAATAATAATAAATTTTTTGTGGCGATTTAAAATCCGGACCAAAAATTATAAATATTTAAATACACAGTAGAGATGTTTTAATAAAAATAATGATAAATTAAAAAATAATGATAAAGATCTCAATTCTTTTATACAAGTACTTTAAGTATATTCAAGGTGATTATTTACGTATACTCAAGATTTATGTAAAGTTTTATTGCCATGCATAAATTAATTGCATAAATTATTCTATAAACAAAAATTAAATTTTGATTAAAAGTGAAAACAAAACAGGTGATAAAATTAAATATTTATTTACAGAATACCCAATCTCTGTATCACAATAAAACTTTATAAAAGTAGTCTTGAACATTTAAAGTACTTATTTTAAAAAATTGAGATTTTGTTGCATTATTTCTTAATTACATTTCTATTAAAGCATTTCTACTTATTTATTTAAATAATTTCGTATCCAAGTTCTACCGCTTTAAGTTTTTCAAAATTTGTTCATTGTAAATATAAAAAGTATAAAAATAAGTGTAACACACTATTCTCACTAAGTTCGAGGCAAAATATTTGGCATTTCTCATTTGAAAAATTCTCAAATTCTTCAATAAAATAAATTGTTACAGGAAAAACCTTCCCGACGAAAATGACAATATATCCATTCGGATTGTTGCTCCGTTTGATGCTCACGAATATAAAAGACTCGCGGTACATAAAGGACGATTGCGAGGGAAATTTGCGGAGTGTGAAACACGAGTGATGCCATTAGCAGCAGCAGCAGCTCTCTTTCTC